TACTACTACTACTACTACTACTACTACTACTACTACTACTACTACTACTACTACTACTACTACTACTACTACTACTACTACTACTACTACTACTACTACTACTACTACTACTACTACTACTACTACTACTACTAGATCTACATGTACTACTACGAGACAGTACGATAGATGTACTACTACGAGACAGTACGAGAGAGTGCCACCCAGGAAAAGATAGTGTAACTTTGACTCAGCCTCGTTGTGTACACACTTTTTATACCCCAAATTTGACCCGGAAGTCCATTCGGAGGATTTGACCTTTTCACTTGACCAAAGTGTGCCAAAATGGTGGCCTAGATTTTGCCCCTCCATGAAGGAAAAATCTGGCCCTCATTCAAACCATTGGGATTGAGCAAAATTATGCGTATCGTGCTTTGTTCTTACAATATTCATTATGATATTTTGTACACTGAGACAAAACTGTACTAAATGAGAAAGGTGCACCATTATGAAAGTGGAACGAACTCAGTTGCCTGAAAAGGGTGTCCCCCGGTAGTTTGAGCACGTGTGGCCTAAATAAGCTAAACTCCCCTCCCTTGCCTTATTTAGGCCATATGTGGCCTAAATAAGCACTCCCCTGAAAATATTAGGTGTGTCCCGTGCGCTCATATGACTTTATGCAGTTGCGAGCGCCGTAAAACACTTGCCCCCAAAAAATATATAAAAGGCTAGATAACCTTCGAAGCAGGCTGCAGCTCGATATTCAAACCCGCTTCTACGTCTCAGCACAAGGAATTGTATGCTGTCCCCCTTACGATTGATTCTCGCAACTGTTTCCCATTGCTGATGTCGTCCTTACCCCGCCCGCTCGACATAGCGCGATGATGTATTGTGCTCTTAAGTATATCGACCCACACAACAGCTGCTGCTTCTTAAAATGATTTGGTCGCAGAAGTTAAAACTTTGAATTGTTGTTTGGGAGGGAATTATGGAAGGGGGGTGGGGGCTGTTCAAAGGGCGTGTGGTTGGAGGGCACCCCTGCAATGGTAGTTCTTACTTCTTTACTTTCCCTCTGTCGTTTCTGTCTGTCTGTCTTACTTTTTTTCCCTGCCCTAAATGACCATCATTGTGTCGATGTATGGACTTCGTAAGTCACACACGTTATTTCAAAATAGTTATTGAAGATATTTCGTGGGTAGTTAGCGGGTGCTCATGTGTGGTTTGCTTCTTCTTACCTATCAAACATCTATCGTCCTTATCTCCCCTTCTTCTTTTTTATGTTTGTTACTCTCTTGTAACACCACTTATCTTCTGGTGCTCATGTTATGACCTTATGCAGTTGCGAGCGCCGTAAAATCTCTTCTAAAACTAAAAACTAAAAAAACTGTCTGTCTTACTTTTTACCAGCACTAAATGACCATATTATTGTGTCGACCGCCGCCCCTCGTTTCTTTCGATACCCTGCAAGGATAAACTAATGCCATGCGGCAGTACGTTTTCTGCCGTAGTAGTGAAGGTGAAGACGGTGGCTGTAACAATACTCCGTCACAGCTGCTAACAACACTGCTTGTGTTGTATTGTCTTCATCCTCCTCGTTCTCCCCCTCCTTCATCTTTATCCTCCTCCTACTCTTTTTCTCCTCCTCCTCTCATCCTCCTGCTCTCGTTGTCGTCCTCCTCCTCCTCCTCCTCCTCCTCCTCCTCCTCCTCCTCCTCCTCCTCCTCCTCCTCCTCCTCCTCCTCGTTCTTATTCTGTGGGTAGTTGGCAGATGTTCTGGTGTGGTTTACTCTTTCTTTACTATTAAATATCTTTCGTCCTTATTTCACCTCCTCCTTTTTGTATGTTTCTGTCCAGTAACACTTCTTTTTTACAAAATTGTGTTTTACGGCGCTTTCAATACAATTAGATCTAGGTCATATATAAATGCCGAAAATCAGGGCCGTTACAGTTACAGTTTCAGGACACCAACACCCGAAAAAGAAGGTCGAGAGACAAGTACCATTGATGTTTTGTTGGAAAGAAAGAGCAAACGCACCAGACCACCCGCCAACCACATGCATACCACCTCCAATCTTTTGGCACTTAAATGACGTGATTGTGTCGCAAGTACTTTAAAATTCTTACTAAAAAGGAAAATATATTATTTAACTCTTACACACCTGTCTCATACACAGGATGATACTATAAGGTTAGCGGGGAGAGGGTGCATCTGGTGTCTCTCGGGTCTTTTCTTTCCCTCTCTGTTATTTCTTTCAATTCGTTTTTGTTGTTCCCAACACTACGTTAACCCTATCCGTACCCCCTCAGGGTCATTTTGTACCCGGGATTGTATTCTTCACATTTTAGAATACTTCAAGTACAAAAATCTCCTTGAAACTTTCAGTATTTCTCAAAAAATCATTTTGACAGACTGCTATGCAAAGCGTACAGATCGGATTAACGAGTAAATTTCCTCTTTGGAAAGTGATGGCACAGAGTTCCCCATGTCGTATGGATACGATAGTAAAACACGACGTACGGATAGGGTTAAACTGTTGTGGTGTCAAGGCGCTTTTATTTACTCAAACACAGTTTCTTTAGTCTTTGTTCCTATTATTCCAAGTTTAGCGTGGGTGGTTGGTGGGAGCTCTGGTGTGGTTTGCTTCTTCTTTCCCATCAAATATCTATTGTCTTTATCTCTATCTCCCCCTCCTATTTTTATGTACACTCTCTTGTGGCACCTCTAATCTTCGGCACTTATATGACCTTTTGTAGTTGCGAGCGCCGTAAAACCTCCACTAAAACAAACTATCTATCTGTCTATCTATCTTTATCTATCTATCTCTATCTATCTATCTATCTATCTATCTATCTATCTATCTATCTATCTATCTATCTATCTATCTATCCTCATCACGATCCTGGATCGACGGGGATTTCCGATGCTGAAAAAGATCTTCAGTTTCGTTAATTTTTCTCTCTCTCTCTCTTTCTTCCCCAGAAAGTGCGCAAGGAGTTTGATAGCTTCGAGAATCTGTTCGCCCGGTTCCTGCGAGAGTCTGGCCCCTCTGTGGAGTGGGAGAAGCTGAAGCTTCTGGCCCCTGATGCTGTAAGTCCGAGGTTCAAACCTCTGTCTGTCTGTGTCTTTATCTCCCTCTCTCTCTCTCTCTCTCTCTCTCTCTCTCTCTCTCTC